TTTTATTTTAAAGTGATTGCAATTGAACTTCCATCCCTGCATAAAAGTGTGCACGAGTACTGAACGCTGATGTCTTCCACAGTTGTTTGGGTAGGTGCCTGCGTATCACCCTCGAGAATCGCTGGAATGTGCATAACAAGACGCCTATTCCTCCTGTCTCCCTCTGCACAGACACAAGCCTGCACAATGATCACCTTTTGGAGTTAACAACAGTATTTAAAGCGACCACGTGTTATTAAGAATTATAACAGTTAGTGATAATGGGGGTAGGAGAGACTTAGTTGGCAGTGGATGGGAGCAGCTGAAGTCCCATATTGCTGTTGGACTGAAGCCAGTGGAGGTTCAGGCCAAGACACAACACGACCAGACAAAGAGGACTGCAAAAGACACGCCTTATGTCTCAAAAGACTCTTCAGATCTGTAGAATATTGGTAATTTAGTAGTTATAGTAGTAACATAGTAAAAATGATTGACAAATGGGACAATGTTTTCATGTTTTCTCTGACTATAACTACAACACTATAGTATTTGGAATAGTTTTAGTATGAGCTAATGGTATGTGATACGGTCAGGCTGCAGGAAAATGGGGATTTGACATTTCCAAAAGCAAAATTCCTATCTATTTTTCCCATAAACCTTTTGAGTTTCAAAGATTGATGGGGGGCATAAGACTTAATCTAATCTAAGAAAATGTACTACTGGAACCAAAGCAACATCTTAAACATCAATATTACATGTATATTGTGGTTTGGTTAACTGCTTTACTATATAAATCATAAAAACCTCACATCTCCACGTGTCCCCCTTAGCCAGTGTAATGTAACAATGAGAGCGCTGTTTCCTCTCAGCCCCAGTGACGTCTCCAAATGTCACTGTGCATCTGGGACACGCTCAGTCCTCACACATCCTCTCTGCTCTGCTACTTTTACATCTGCAACCAACCTGTCTTTTTCTCAGTCCCCTCTCTTTCAGCAGAAGATGATTTTATTGACCTCTTGAAGGGCAAAAGAAAAATGCAAAGAGTATGTGATTTGTGAAAATTGTTCTATTCATTCGAGCTATATCGCCCACTCCTACCTCAAGCTAGGTTCTCAACAATAAACTCAAGACAGATTACCTCCGCAGTACTGAAAGCTACTGCAGAGTGGAATCATTTTATGTCTGATAGACTTTTTTTTTTAGCTTTTAACCATATTATAATATTCTTCACCAATATATTAGGGTCACAAATAACAATTATTTGTGTAGTCGACTAATCAGAGATTATTTTTCAATGACTTGGCTACTCAAACAATTTTTTTTCCTATTGATTGAGGAGATCTTTTAAATACATTGTTAAGCAAATAAAGGCTGAAAAATGGTGACTGAATGCTTCCAGATAAGAGAATATTTCATGAAAAAATTTGAATTTTTTTTGCCGTTTTGATTTAATACCACTGTTTTTGTCCTTCAGTATCTTTTGTATATGTTTATGAGGCGATATATTCAGGTTAACAATTAGGATTATCAGAAAACAATGAGGATTATTTTGTATAGTAGATTATTCATGATTATCTGATTAATCACTGCAGAACTGAAAACTAGAAGGCGCCATCTGATTTGTGGTATACGTGTACACTCCACAGCTCTCTCATAAGCAGCAGTAGTGATTGCTTGGCACACACACATTAGTGATTGGCAGATGAAAAGAGACGCAGGAAATGAAGAAGGGCTGGACTGAATACTTTTTGACAGAGCTTGGAAGTGCTGCTGAGTCACACAGCAGAGCCAATTCAGCATGCTAAAGCCACTCAAACAAACACTGTATGGGCCAATGACTGCTGATAAAAGAATAGTAAAGATGGGGAACAACAACACAGCCATAAAATAAATTTCTATCACTACTACTACACACTATTAAACTATCACTAAAGGCATGGCTCAGCACTGTTCTTAAACTATAGGCTGATATCTTGATACTAAGGGTATTGATACTAAAAAAGTCACATTCACAGGACAGAAATTAACCTATTCTGACTAGTTTTAGAATGATCTTGAGCTGTATTACAGCACATAAACTAGATGGACCACTATGGAACCTACCTGGACCACTGAGGGATTACACAGATATAAGGCCACATGGGAATAGAAAATAAAGTACTATGATTTAATGTTGAAAATTACGTTGTATTGTCTAAATAAAGAGTATAGCACAAAGGCACTTTTTGATCTATTTTTTACCTGAATCCGTGAAAGCCCTGCACAAGAATTCAACATGTATGGACTTTTGAATGTGCATAAATTGCAAATGTATAGCCTATTTCTTGAATTTTTATGGACAATTAATACTGTATACTCAAGAATTGTGCATATTAGCTTGAATGTTATTACTAGAGTTAAAATGATGACCTTAGACATCACACCGTTGTAGATTCCTATAATTTAAAATTGAGTTGGAGGACATAGTTCTATGGTGGGATCTGCTGTTTAAGTGTCAGATTGCAGATTTGTTGGCCTCTTTTCTGGTTAATATCTCTGTAATTATTGGGCCTATCCACATGAAACAAAAACTGGCACAAAGTTCAACATCTTCTCTGTCTATAAAAACAAACAAAAGTTAAATAATCTTTTTACAATAGCTTCAGAAAGTGGTGTCATTATTCAAGCTCAAAAATGTGACTGCTGTTAGCTGAAAGGACTTTTAACCATGACATTAATATGACAAGTTTGTGAAAGTAATCTATAATTGAATACATTTCTTGTCTCTTCTCTCTGCAATGGAAAACGTATTAGCAATGAAAACTGATTGAAATCGCCTTTTTTTTTTTTACAGTCACAATGTAAAGTCACAATAACAAATGAATAATTATAATAACCACGATGTCAAACCTCCTGACAGTGATACAGGCCTAGATGGACAAAGGCTATCCCTAGTGTTATTAAAAGTATGTTGTCCTGTAAAAAAGGCCTATATAAAGAAAAAAACTCTAAAACATCAATGCCATTCTATGCTAGATCAGCTGGTCTTTTGTTGTGCACAGCCTGCTAGCTGGCACACCGGCCGGCTCACTGTACGGATGCTGTGTGCGCACAGAGGCGGAGGATGGGTGCGCTCGTCCGGGCTTACCCTGCTCCAAGTCCTGCTGATCGTACCACGGCTCCTCTTCCTCGGTCACAAACTCTTCGTCCATCGTCCCTGAGCCGAGCATGGGGGCACCGCGCCTGAAAGCACAGAAACAAGCCCGCCCGTGGGTGCAAAACAGCTCCAGGGTGAAGTCCGTGCAGAGGGACCCGCGTCTACTAGCTAAACAACGGCGTGCTCTCGTCTCTCCTCCCGGGCAGGGCAGGGAACGCAGGCCGCCTCACAGTGGGCGACAGGAGGCGGGGGATGCGGAGGGGTCGACGCGTGTTGTGTCCGCCGGGCTTCGTGCGCGCTGTCGGTCACTCCCACATCTCCATCACCCGCTGCTCCTGGAAGTGGCTCAGAGACGTGGCAGATGTTGCAATCCCGCTTCTCCCCGGTGGAAATCCTCTCTCTCTCTGTCTCCCGATGATGTCTGCGGGGTTTTAGCGCCGCTCTGTGGATACTGGTGATGCTGCAGGGTACTCTGTTATGGTCCTAGTGCGTCTCTACATAAGATTACTTTTTTATCAACTTTGAGAAATCCTTATTCTCAGTTTATTTTTATCTAAACTAATAGACTAGCTGATTTGACCTATATTTTTCATTTCATCATTAGGTTCATACATCAATGTGAATGAAAAGAAGCAAAAAGAAGTATAGACTTTGATCCGTAATATCTGCCCCCTTTTCACACAAAATAAAACATTTCCAACACTTCAACAGTTCACACTACATTTATAAGCAACTTACGGAACATACCCAATATTAAATACTTGTTAATTAACACAAAAGGACAGTTCGATACTACATAACTTTTTAGCATATCATGTTTGACATTTCATTTAAACATGAATAGACTTTGACGCTTTCAGTTTTTCATTTAGACAGTTCCATCGGCTGACAGGTTTGATTGAAACACTCTCTCTCACTGTAAATTTTCTTTGGAGATTGGTGGAAAAGATCAGCTGATTTGTTTTGTACATAATTTTTAAAATATGATGTTCTCCCAATTCATTGAATTTCAGTATCTTCAACTGTATAAATAATGGTGCAAAAAACCCAAGGCACTCACTGGTTCAAAATAAAATGCCTTTATTAGTTTACGGCATGTCTTAATGGACAACTTAAAAAGTCCCGACGCGTTTCAGCCTATGGCTTTCCTCTGGCTTTCCATAGGCTGAAACGCGTCGGGACTTTTTAAGTTGTCCATTTAAGACATGCCGTAAACTAATAAAGGCATTTTATTTTGAACCAGTGAGTGCCTTGGGTTTTTTGCATCTTTATACTGACTTCCCTCCCCAAAGAGCACCACTGAGTTGGATCTACTGTGTATTATCCTCTGGAGGTCCAGGAAGCGCTTCTTCTGAAACATTTTTTGTATAAATAATGGGTTTGTTGAGTCTCTGTATGTACTTCCACTGAGGAGTCTTAAAGCTCTTTTTTGTAGGAGGAAAATTGGATTAACATAAATTTTAGCACTTCTCCATACTTCAATACAGTATGTCAAATATGGAACAATCAATGAATTATACAACAAATACAATGCACTCCTATTTAATGATTCTTTTACCTTATGTAACACAGCTATTACTCGTGATCATTTAATTTTGCATTAATCTATAAGGGATTTCCATGTCAGATGTTCATCAATCATAACACCCAAAAACTTGAACTCATGTGCTCTCTCTATTTCCTCATCTCCAATAAATAATGTGGCACTTTTTTTCCTACACGGCAAAAAGTGGAGGATTAAAATTTCAGGGTAAAATATTGTGTTGATATTGATATTGTGTTGTTTTTAACATAAAAAAAAGTTATTTTACTATATGAAAGTTAAATGGATATTCGAGTTGGAGTTATTTGCCAGAGTTGATAAAGCTGAAGTTAATTCAACTTTCCCTAGTGTTCATTTAACTTCCCTTAGTATTAATTTGACACCTCCCACCCACCACTTCAAACTCCCACGAGAGAAGATCAGTTTGAACCAGTTTTGTACATCATTTCATCTTAAATGAACTAAAATAAAGTGTAAAAATAAAACACCTCTGTGTGTTGTTTAGCTAAATCAGTAAAACCCTGCAAAGTGTTATCCCTTTTCTCTCAAAACTTTAATATAACTCTTGATTTCGGGGTTAAACAGGAACTTTGGTCCAGTGTTTCCAAAAATGTTAAATTAACTTTAGAGCAGATTGGACTCATAAACCCCGAGAAAATGTTAAAATTGTTTGTGCGAGCGTCATTTTTAACACTCCACTTTTTGCTGTGAACTACTAAATACCATACATTTTTTGCAGTTGTTTTATGAAGTCTAAATATGTTTTAAAGGAACTGTAGGCCTCTGTAATTTTGATTTTAAAATTCATACTTGACCTATCAATCTGTGTCCCCAGATATGAGGTAAACCAAATGGCTGGTTTGTTTACACTGAATGGTCTCTACATAAACCCCAGCACCTACAGTCAATCATGAATCCGTTCTAGTGCAGCCTCTGCAGCTCACATGAGTCATGGCCTGTCCATATACTGAATGAGACACATTTGGATGCATCTTCTATATGCAGGTTTGGGCTTCAGTTGTGTTGTAGTCCCTTTTTTAAACAGCAAGAGCCCAGGTGACATATAGTTGTTCATTTGAAAATATTAGGCAGCAAGTCTATAATGCAATAACCACATTCAGCAGCTAGAGGGCGTAGTGCAATTAAATATTACACAGTTGTTACACTTAACTCCCCCTTCAGCCACATAATTTACTTAAATTTGTCAAACATATGAAAAGGATATTCTTTATTTTCAGAAAAAAGAGCACTGCTTGTTAAAATGCTCACTGGCACATACGAAGGAAGAAGATAACTAGATGACAAGATAAGTACTTCCGCACGCACACAAACATGAACTGCTGTGGTTATATGATCATGGTATTGACATTTACAAAACCATATTTGTGGCATTAAAATCCTGTTATAAGTTTCCTGAAAACACCACTGAACACCTATTTTATAATACCTAACTCATTTAGGTTACAGGAGACAAAATGTATAATTTCTTGATGTATGTGTATTGCTTATAATACATTTAGTCTTACCTGTAGGAGAGAAAATATGTATGTTTTTTTTTTTTTAATACATACTGATCTTAAGAATTGTCTGTATCTTTTTTTTTTTTTTTTTGTCTGAAGTGTGCTATTGCTTAAACACTCCCATATTGGCCTCATAAAAACATCTCAGAGGAGCTGTCATTAATTCATCAGCCTGAATAATTCTGCTGTTTTCATGACAAGAATGAGGCATTTGTCATGGGACATTTTTCATTCAAACGATTTTAACCAGAATAGTTCATGAGTCTTCAAATGAATCACCAGCTGAGCAGTAAGAAGAAAACACCATTGTTGACAAAGGAATGATGTATTCTTCTGGGTTTTGTTAACAGGGTCAAATGGTGTTACATGCTTTCTGCTGGCATCAGTGAGAAGTGAAACTACCTATTTTTATAGACAGTACCAATAATCAGGAAGTGCATCTTAGATGTTATCTTATAAACTTATCATAGTCAATAATTAGAATGCTAAGAATGCATAAAGTAAGTAAGGAGTAACTTAGGACCACTGCAAACCGTTTAAAATGAGCTAATTCAGTTTGTCACATTTTATGACGTTGTTCTCCTGGGGGACTTCAACGCCCACGTGGGCAACGACAGTGACACTTGGAGAGGGGTGATTGGGAGGAACGGCCTCCGCGATCTGAACCCGAACGGTGTTTTGTTATTGGACTTCTGTGCTAGTCACGGTTTGTCCATAACGAACACCATGTTCGAGCACAAGGGTGCCCATAAGTGCACGTGGCACCAGGACACCCTAGGCCCGAGGTCGATGATCGACTTTGTAGTCGTGTCATCTGATCTCCGGCCGCGTGTCTTGGACACTCAGGTGAAGAGAGGGGCTGAGCTGTCAACTGATCACCACCTGGTTGTGAGTTGGGTTCACTCTCGGAGGAGGAAGCCGGAAAGACCTGGCAGGCCCAAGCGTGTAGTGAGGGTCTGTTGGGAACGTCTAGTGGAGGCCTCTGTCAGAGGGACTTTCAACTCGCACCTCCGGGAGGACTTCTCCCGGATTCCGGGGGAGGCTGGAGATATGGAGTCCGAGTGGGCTTCATTCTCGGCCTCTATTGTCAATGCGGCTGCTCGGAGCTGTGGGCGTAAGGTCTGTGGTGCCTGTCGCGGCGGCAATCCCCGAACCCGGTGGTGGACACCGGAAGTAAGGGATGCCGTCAAGCTGAAGAAGGAGTCCTATCGGGCCTTGCTGGCTCGGGGGACTCCTGAAGCAGCTGACGGGTACCGGCGGGCCAAGAGTGCTGCAGCCCGTGTGGTCGCGGAGGCAAAAACTCGGAGCTGGGAGGAGTTCGGGGAGGCCATGGAGGAGGACTATCGCACGGCCTCAAAGAGATTCTGGCAAACCGTCCGGCGCCTCAGGAGGGGGAAGCAGCTCTTCGCCAACACTGTTTACAGTGCGGGGGGAGAGCTGCTGACCTCGACTGGGGACGTTGTCCGGCGGTGGAAGGAATACTTTGAGGATCTCCTCAATCCCACCGTCACGTCTTCTGAGGAGGAGGCCGAGGCTGGGGACTCGGAGGCGGACTCATCCATCACCCTGGCTGAAGTCACTGAGGTGGTTGGAAAGCTCCTTGGTGGCAAGGCTCCGGGGTTGGATGAGATCCGTCCTGAGTACCTTAAGTCTCTGGATGTTGTGGGGCTGTCTTGGCTGACACGCCTCTTCAACATCGCGTGGCGGTTGGGGACAGTACCTCTGGACTGGCAAACCGGGGTGGTGGCCCCTCTGTATAAGAAGGGGGACCGGAGGGTGTGTTCCAACTATAGGGGGATCACACTCCTCAGCCTTCCCGGTAAGGTCTATGCCAGGGTACTGGAGAGGAGAATCCGGCCAATAGTCGAACCTCGGATCCAGGAGGAGCAGTGTGGTTTTCGTCCTGGCCGTGGAACACTGGACCAGCTCTACACTCTCCATCGGGTGCTCGAGGGTTCATGGGAGTTTGCCCAACCAGTCCACATGTGCTTT